CAAGTGTGACCCTGAACAATTTTCTCAGCTTCCCTGGGGATCAATTTCTTCATCTACGAAATGAAGATGATACCTACCTTGGAAGGCTGTGAAAAGGATTAGCCATAATCTGGACAAAATGCCTAGAGGTGTCTGGGACACAACAGGGACTTTGTAAGTACTATTGTTATTGAGAATATCAGTTGCATATCTCGAAAACAACTAAGTTTATAAAGAATTAGGAATTTTCATTAAATTGTACAATTTTTTTAAATGTAAAGGATAAGTAGACCATCATGTACATTCAATCACTATGCATCTATTAATGTATCACACTATTTAGGCAATTTAAATTTTGATGTCTGAGAATAAGCAACTGGGAAGGGAGGAAAACATTTTAATTACATAACATATAACGCGCTGCACCTAAATGAAAAAGTACCTATTCTCTCGAGGATTAAATGGGACTCTCTCAAAAGCATAAGGTTTTTAAAAAGTGGTTTGGATTCCCAGTTTACTGTGACAAAACTCCTGATCACTTTTGAAGCTTTTTAAGAACTCCAAAATGGCCGACGGTAGGTAAAGAGACGATAGAGGCAGATGATTCGGACCGCCTGAATACAAAAACGCAGGTGCTTAGAAAACGGAAGCATTTGCCAGTTTGCCAACTGCTGGCTCCTGCTCCCACATTCCGCCTGCATCCCCCCCACATCTGCTCACTGGGGCTCATGTGATACATTCAACTGACTCAGAAGATGAAGAGTAACAACCTGCGAATCAAGAGCCTCCTGAGATCTGTTAGTTAAAAATGGAATTTCCTTTTCTTTGCAGGTTTCTCGCACTATTTTATTCTTAGGTGGAAACATTAACTTTCTTTAAAATTAAGACACAGTTCTTTGATTGAAGATGATTATTTTAACAAGAGCACAATAAAGGGATATTAATGCCTAGGTTATGGAACACGTTAATATAGATAGATGCAAACTATCTGAAAGCTTAAACCATGTTTGCAGATTATACCCTCTACAACCCAAGTACAGTAAAAAAGAAGAAACTGCCATAAAATAGCTTCTAAAAACAGAAAGAAAGCAATCAGTGTCTCTTATCGCATGCGGAACCAAACTACACGTTTTTCACAAAATATCTCACTTTTGTTTTGCCTCTGAATGAACAAAGGTAGCTTCAAAGGAAAATAGGAGATAATTTAGAAGGCTGAAGATACAGTAAGTTGAAAGAATAAAATTGACTGTCACATGGTGAGAGGGCCCAGGTGGGAAGCAGAGTTCTTCCTTTCAGATTCCCTTATTGGTGTGACAAGGAATTTTGAAAAAAACAAAAAGCAAAAAACAAAAAACAAAAACCTATAATAACTACTTGGCAACTTAAAGAACACTAGTGAAAAATGAGTATAACTCAGACACCAATACCAAGGAATAGTGTGAAAGATCCAGGTTATCTCCAAAATGAGTTAGGGATGCTGAGAGTGAATACTGGTAGGTAAGAAACGAGGAAAGAGACCTTGCAGAGTGGCCAGGGTCTGAGGGTGACTTCATGGAATCAGTGAAGGTAACATGTCAGGTCAAATGGCTCATACATGCCAGCTCCAGAGCCCACGGGCAGCTTCGCCTGGCTAACCATCAACCGCCTAGTTTTTACCCCACCACTATGGGTACTGAAAGTCCAGGGACAGGGATGGTGGTGATGATGATGATGATAGTATGAGCAGCGATCACTTACTGAGTGCTTATTGTCTGTTACGCACTATACTAAGTACTAAAATAACTCAAGCTAAGAACTCTGGCTTGGCTTTTCTTTACGCACAGAAACCCTGGACTTCATGTCTAGCCTTCACGTATATGCGAAAGTACCTTATAACAAAACAATAGCCCTTTCGATTTAATAACATGCAAGCACCACACAAATCATTTAATACTATATTTAGTCACAGAAAAGCCACATGAAACATAAAATGTTCTCCCAACAGGCTGCTTCTCCATACATCTTTATGCCTGGAGCCAAAATCCATCACAAGCGAGGATACTCAAGAGAAATAATAATATAAAAATCATATGTCCTTCCCATTCTCAGTTCCTCTGAACCAACAGAGAGCACTCCATGGTCTGTGACATCCAAAGAAGATGATGACAAAGGAAACTACAAATTATTCTGTCTCACAGTAAGTTATAATGTCATTTCAAGTGAAGCAAAGCACAAAAAGGGATTTCAGAGAGAGTCACATACTCGGTTTTAAAAGGTCCTCCAAATCTGATATATGCTGCGCTGTGGCTGGCAGGTGCTCTAAAGGACAAAGCACCTTTAACAAAACACCATGGATACTTGTTGCTGTTGCTGTTGGGGAAGGGCCTGGGCACTGTTTGCAGACAGCAGTAAGCAGAGGCTGAAATGGCTGACAGGCAATGTCCTGTTTGTATGTTTTCCTGTCCATGATTAAGACACTGCCACCAGAATAACTTTTCTGCAGTAGCACCTCCATCTTTAAGACCTAATTCAAATGTAATTTCTCACGGAATGCTTCTCTTGACTTCTTTCATGTGACACTGCATGAACTTCCTATGACATAATGTGCTGTCAATTATTTGTTCATCCTCTGTCTCTTCCACTAGTCTGTGAGCTCTAAGCATAGTGATTGGGACACAGCAGATATTCAATAAATGCTAATTGAAGGTGCGAATAAACTATAGTATTGAAAATCCTATAGTCCAGCAAGTGAAATTACCACGGAAAAGTAATTCGCTTATCCGGACCTTAAATTGCCATCTGTAAAATTAGGAAATGGTGAAAAAATGTTCTAAATACGTGAAACCATTTCTTCAAATAAGAGCTCGCCTGGAAGCCTCATCTGAGTGACAGGTGTCAGGGCGGAGTGCTGTTTCGTGGGCGGGGAAGATGGCACGCCCAGCTCCTCCTGCCTTTGCCAGAAACCACAGCGCGAGCTGAAAAGCTACGGGAGTACACGTTACGTGTCTCTCCCAGTTCTGACATTCTACGAGTCTATGATGCTATTTAGTATTTCAAGGCAACGCGCGCAAGGATTATTAAGAGGAAAAATTCCACTGTTCTATTGTCCTTTAGGAACAAAAACTTCAATTTGGAACCATGGCTTCTCACAGTGGATTATTTTGTAGATATATCAAATGTGGACTCACTAATGAGTAATTATGGAGACATTTATTCTACCAGCTTACCAGATAAAATCTGTTTGCAATAACCGTTAATTTGAAATACAAAATGTCGCAATTGATCAAATAAGTTAAAAATAAACTGTTCAGTAATCTTGTAAGAAACCAGGCCTTTATTACTTATGCCTAGAAAGAAAAGGCAAACACCTGTGCACATTTCAGTCTTCACGTGCCTTTGTAGGCAAGACTTCTAGGTCTAGATTCGTTAGCTACTAGTGATGGTCATTTATTCTGAGCCTTATTTCCTCATACTAAAACTGTACAATACTTGCTTCATATAGTTGCTAGAAGGACCAAAATAAAGCTATCTAGCATACTGACTGGCACATGGTAAGCCTTTGAAACAGTCTATATTTCACTCCCTAATAAATACTAATGAACTAAAAGAGATAAGCTTTTCTAGAGTTCTAAGAGAAAGTCATTTGTTTGGTCACAGATAACCTAACCACCTGTCTTACCACTGGTAATTTATTAATATGAAAAGACTGTGTTTGAATATACCCAAAATCTGCAATATAACTGAAATAGCAAATTTGGAATAACTCCATATTCACATGGACATATATGTTACCTTTATGTACAAAGGGCAGGTAGAACATTTGTTCAAACTCCACCTGCAGCAGTGGACGCCAGGGCCACAGACAGGAGTCTATGTATATTTACTAGATACCCAGTTACTGACCAGGACTGTACAGAGGGCCTCTAACAATATTTTCTTCCTCAATTACAGTCTGAACAATTGAAACTATTTTTTAACAGAAAGTTATATGAAAAAGAGACCAGTCTTGCTTTCAATAATCACCTATTAACTTAAGAGAGAGACTCTACAAACATTCTAACAGAGAGATAGAGCACAGAAACCCAAAACAGCAGCTTTATTCTCATTACACACCAGAAGCAAACCAAGGGCAACATAAGGGAGGACTTAAACACCTCCATTTCCAGTATCGACATATAAGAAAGATTCTGAACTAATGACAGGGCCTTGTATATTTCAAACAATTTATGTCTGTTGGGATCTCATCAAGAAATTTGAATTTCTTAGTCAATGTATTCTGATGCAATGTATATTACACATTTTTACTTGATCTATACTAAAAAGGCAGAAAAAAAAACCCCCAAAGAGTTAGCCATAAACAGAAGTACATAAAACACATGATGAATACGCCAACTATTCTATGACAGGTTTTACTCAGCATTACATCATCATTCATTACCTTAAAAATGAATTCTTGAATAATCACACAACCCTAAAGAAACTGAGTAATTGGATTCAGGGCTAGCAGAAGCACAAGTGAGATATTCCTGCAAATTAGTCCTGCAAAATAATCATTTTGATTTTAGTCTTCTCTAAATTAACCAATTCTCCAGTTTAGGCTTTTTACTGGATCAAAGTGTACCTCTGCATTTTTTGGCATCATACTTGATAAATGAACTTTACATACAAACTTCCTTAGTTGAATTCCTGTGTTTGAATATATTTGGCTTTCATTGGAAAAGAGACCTTGTCTTGGTCTTCGTTTAGGAGACCACGTTATAGTGATGGGTCCTCTCTGATACATTCATTTCCAGGAAGAAGCTATTCGAGTAGAGAAAAGAGGGAAAGAAACACTTTTTTTTTTAGTTAGGAAGTATTTATTGTACAAAATTTACATTTGTTGCATATGATGAAAAGCATGGCAAAAACCACCTTTTGTTAATCTTCTTAAGATTTTCTGTGAAAAGTAAAGATTTATTTTCTAATACATTAGATAACACAACTTTTTATATAGTTGTTTAACAGATGTGTTGGCAATAAGCGTCTTGGGATATAAAGTACAACACTGAAAACAGATCAAAAAAGCGTAGGGGGAAGACCACTGCCAAAGAGTAATCTCCAAGAACTTGGCATTTTCCATGGTAAGGCAGATTCTGTGGGATCATCACCACGTGGTTTGATTATCTGAAGCCATTCATTAAGATACTCAACAAGACCTAATGCATCTGGGATACTGTCTCCTTCTGAAACAAATTTCAGCAGAATCACCAATGGGATTTCTTTAAGATAGCCTTCACCATAGAGTTGTTTTGTGATGCCTCCTCCAGGAATCCGGATACAAAATTCAGAATTGTGTATTTCAGGAATACATTGGCTTTTTTCAATCTCTTCCCAATTTAGACTCTTTATTTTATTTTGAACACTTTTTTGCACAGAAGGTGTAAGTAGGTACCTGAAGGGAGTACTGCGAAGCTATAGATCATTACGGTGATAGGAATGACTGCTTGAAAGAATAACAACTTTGGCACAGTTACTACTTTTCACCCAGGAAAGCAGTTTCTCACAGAATGGCTTTGATTTATACTTAATAAAAATGGATCTTAACTGAAGAGCCACTAGCTTCTTTGAAGGCAGTGAGTATATTTCAGCATTTATACTGAGTTCTGTTGAATTTTCTTTTGACGTTGCATATGGATTGTTTCCAACCATTGGCACAAGACAATCAGTATAGAAGTAACCAATCTTACACATATTCAGTGTAGAAATAATCAGATCTATTGCAAGCTGGCCAACATTTCCAACGGATACTGCTGGCATCAGGAGGGTGAAACCCGCGAGATCCGGGACCGACTCTCCGTAGGGAACAAACATTGTCGCACTGCAGTGGGAGGAAGATGAGTGCCGGCCCGGGATGAACCAGAGCGGTGGGAGAGCAAAAACCTCAAGCTCGCAACGTCGGTGCCCTCATTCCCTAGAGCCCCATGAGACACGGGCGGAAGAAACACTTTTTGGGAACTTCACACATGTTTCTTAAATGAATGGTACGAGGAAGAATCAGGTAGGGGTGAGTAAGGACTGTCTATCATGGGAATAGAATGGCCTCAGAAGTGTCCTGATATGATCAAGTAGCCAACAATAATTTCTGTTTTTTATTCATTCAATTTCACAAAACTAGACTGGGATAGAAGGCAGGGGGGAGACATAGGTAGTAAGGAATATTCTGAACTTGGAATAGCTTTTCATATCTTCATGGCACATGACTGCAACTTCCACAGTAAGGTAAAAATAGGATCAAGGGGTTCTTGGGTATAGAGCAGACACCTATCTCAAAATACTCAAGGATTTATTTAAAAGTTAGGTATAACTTATATGCAATAAAATTTACTTTTTCAAAAGTATACAGTTCTGTAAGTTTTGACAAATGCATCTAGTTGTGTAACCACCCCAATAATCAAGATGTATATCAATATATCTATATCAATCATTTCCATCACTCCGAAAAGTTCTCAGAGGCCTCACTGTAGTCAACCTCATTCCTATCCCTGAACTTCCAAGATCTTTTTTGTAGATGTCTTGGCATTTTCTACATAAATCATGTCACCTAGGAATAGAGACAAGTTTTAGTTCTTCCTTTCCAATCTGTACATTTAATAATTTTTCTTTCTGTCTCTTTGAATCAGATAGACTCCTGGTATGATGTTGAACAGGAGTGGTGAAAAAGGATATCCTTGTATTGTTATGGATCTAAGAGGAAAAGCATTCAGTCTCTCAGTTTTAAGTATGGTGTTGCTTGTTCAGAGGCAGCGTTGATCTGATTAAGGAAGGTCCTTCTTTCTCTTCCTGGTGTACTGAATTTTTACTAAGAATGAGTGTTAAAAACTCTTTCTGCACCTATTGAGATGATCATATATGATTTTTCTTCTTTAACTTGTTAATAAGGTGAATTACACTGACTGATTTTTAAATGGTTGAACTAGCCATGCACTTCTGGGATGATTACATTTGGTTATGCTGTGTTAAGTATGCTCTTTTATATATTGTTGGATTTGATCCACAAACATTTTGTTGGGGATTTTTAAGTCTATGATCATGAAGGATATGGATCTTTTCTTTTTATGTAATACCTTTGTCTGGTTTTGGAATTGGGGTAATGATGGCAACTGAAAATGATGACTGTTTCCTTCTCTTCTATTTTCTGGGAGAGATTGTGCAGAATTAGGATTATTTCTTCTTTATATGTTTGGTAGAATTCTCCAGTGAAACTATCTGGGGCTGGAGTTTCCTTTATTGGAAGGTTTTTTACTATAAATTCAGTGTCTTTAAAAGGTATAGGACTATTCTGGTTATCTATTTCTTCTTGAATGAATTTTGATAGTTTTATCTTTCACAGTAATGGTGCATTTAATCACAGGTGTCAAATTGTATTACTTTATCAGCCTTTTAATGTCTGTGGGATCTGTACTGGTATCTGTGCTTTCATTTTTGATGTTAATTTGTGGCCCCCACCCCAACCCTCGCATTTTTCTGTTTTGTGTCTTGGCCAGTATACCTAGATATTTATTAATTTTATTTAACTTTACAACCAGCTTTTGGTTTCAATGATTTTCTTTATTGTTTTCCTGTTTTCAATTTCATGGATTCGTGCTCTTATCTTTAGTATTTCCTCTCTTCTTCTTGCTTTGAATTTAATTTGCTCTTCATTTTCTAAATTAGGGGTAGGCAACTTATGGCCCATGGACCAAATCTGGTCCATGACTTTTATGGCCCTTTAAGTAACCATGGTTTTCACATTTAAAAAAAGTTATAAAAACAAAACAAAAATGAAAAAGAACAACATGTGTCAGAGGCTATATGTTTCCTGCAAAGCCTAAAATATTTACTATCTGGACCTTGATAGAAAAAATGCCAACCTGTTCTAGATTACTGATTTGAGTCTTTTCTTCTTTTTCAAATATGGTTATTTAATACTATAAATTCTACTCTAAGCACTTTTTGAGCAGTATCCCACAAATTTTATATTTAAGATTATATTTTTATTCAAAAATAAAAAAATATTTTTTATTTACTTTGAGACTTCCTCTTTGACCCATGGACTACTTAGAAGTGGTTGGTTTCTTTCCAGGGATTTGGTAATTTCCCAGCTATCTTCCTGAAAACATACTTTACAGGATTTCTATTCTTTTAAATGTGTTGACATTTGTGTTATGGCCCCAAATATGGTCTATCTTGGTGAATGTATCATGTGCATGTGAAAAGAATGTAAACTCTACTGTTGTTAGATGAAGTGTTCTGTAAATGTCAATTAGGTCAAGTTGTTTGATGGCATTATTTAAGTTTTCCACAGCCTTATGCATATATTATACTGTCCTATAGCTTTTAGATGGCCTGTTTTTTAACTTTTTTTTCATTCCTTTTTCTATCTGTGTTTCAGTTTGGGTAATCTCTTTTGATCTACCTTTGATTCTACCTGATTCTTTCTTCAACTGTGTCAAGTGTCCTGATGAGGTCTTCAAAGGCATTCTTCATCTCTGTTAAAGAGTTTTCCATTTTTGGCATTTATATTTAATGCTTTTTTATAATTTTCAACTTCATGCTGGAATTATGCATCTGATCTTGCATGTTGTCCACCTTTACCATTAGCATCTAAACATATTAACCATAGTTATCTTAAATTCCTTGTCATTCAATTCTAACATCTGTGTCATAGCTGAGTCTGGTTTTATTATTTGCTGTGTCTCTTGGCAGTTGGCTGCTTCTTTTTTCTTCTTTCTTACAACTTTTTGTTGAAAACCAGTCTTTTTGTGTTTTTTTTTGCTCCTGGAAATGGGCATGCCTTTCTGTTATGACTTTTGTGTGGGAGTTTGAGTTAATAGTAGTTGGGTTAAATCTGAGATTTTTTGTTGTATCGTTACTCACAGTATGTCACAGGCTTCAAACTACTTTTGTGATAGCTTTCATAATATTTAGAGTGAGGACTAGTTCTCAAGAGGGACTTTCTCAATGTCTGCTCCACCCTTACCAACCCCTTTGTGTTATGGCTCAGACAGGATTTGTCTTAATGCTCTTGCAACTCTCCCCTCAGCACTCCACTATTACGTTATTACTTACGACTTGCCTGTTATTAGTCTGATGATGGGGAATGGGGAAGTGTTCTCTGTTGCTCTGATTAGGTCTCAGTCTTAGGCAGGCACTGTGTCTCAAGGTCCTGGGGCTATGACCTCAGTGCTCCTGCCCCTCTTGCAGCTGGGCTGAGCATTTCTTTTTGTCCTTTCTCCTACACTGAGCAGAGCCATCTCCCCACTCCCATCCCCACCTTGTTCCCTCACCTTGGCTGCAATGGCATTTCACTGGTTTCTTTTCTTACCATGTACATTAACACTTTTCTTCAGTAGGAAACGGGGGGAAGGGTTCAAGTGGAGTTCTGTGCCCCTTCTACTGTTGTTCCCCACATCCAGGCATGTGCCTTGAAGGATGCTTTCTCGGACTCTTGCTAGAAGAATATCTTTCATGGATAGGAAGAGACTGCCTGGAGGAAAGAGCCTGCAATAGGGTACAAAACCTCTGTATATCTAAGGCCATCTGGGGCCGCATTTTCTTCTGCCAGCCCATACACGGCCTTCATCAATTCATTAACTATCTCAGCCCAATCATTCTTAATGGTTTTTGCTGTGCATGCCTCAGGTAAGAAAGTGCTCATGTTTCTTCTTTTCTAGTAGGCATCTATCTCTTCTTAGATTTGAGACTATTTGGTTGCCTTGCAACCTCAGGTCTCAAAGGTTCAAGAAAAGTCATAAACTTGCAGTGTGTCCAGTTTTTGTTGTTACTGTTGTTGTAAGGGTGGGAGGGATGCGCCTTCCATCTTCCTACAGCCGCAACTGGAAACGGAAAGTCCTCTGCTGTTCTCACTCCTAGAATATGAGTCAGAATGGTCTTGGAGGCAATCTAGTTCATGACTTTACTGTACAAATGAGAATACTGAAACTCTAAAGGAAAAGAAATGACTTCTTTGGATATTTAGTGACAGAGTCAGGGCAATTTTACTTATTTATAGGAGCAACATATAGGAGGAGGTCCACACATTAAAAAAGTTAAAAAGAAATTAAAATGAAACATGAGGACTAGGGACAATATGAAGTTGAATAAGAGTGTAGTTTGGGGGGAGGGGGAGAATGATCAAAATTCATAAAAGCAGATTATAAAGTTTCACACAATGAATGGCATAGCTGAGCCACAAGTTGGTGCCAAATTTCCAGAAGTCTAACGTGAAAAATTAGATTATTTTATAGTTTTTATTATCCATTAGAGGTATATATATATATATATATATATATATATATATATATATATATATGCATTTCTTAAGCAAAGAGAAGCATATCCTAGCGCTAAGTTTTAAAATAAATTTCTCTCACGTGGTTTTATATAGGGACTATGAAGAAATATGATGGGATCATTGTGGCACTATCACCCCTGAAGCAAATCTAGTTATCAGGCTTTGTACCAATGTTACACCGTGGATAGAAGGGCTTAAGTCTTCAAATCTAAACCTATTTCTACTCCATTATGCAGGTTATACTACAGCGTTTCACTAGGATAGAACTGCTATTATACAAACTACTAATGATCACTGGTGACGCACAACGTCAAAATAGCTTATGTCCTAGGTTACAAAATTCTTTCGCATTGGAAGGCTCCTCATCAACTTGTCCCATCTCATTTTAGATATGAAATAAATCATGATCAATACTTTCTTGTGAAAAATCTAAGTATAGGCAAGTTAAATTCCTATTCAACTTAAAAAGAAGTCTTTTAAAACCCAGCTAAGCAGACAAGATATTTTCTCCTTAGGGATGCTATTGACGTCAATAATGGGACTTCATACATATTTTAAAATAATTTCTAGGAATCAGAAACAGAAGAAAAGGA